TATTCAGTGTGAGACTGTTGCTTTCAAGTTGTGTTAATACAAATGATGATTTAAACTTGTCCCTTCCGTTACCAACGTATTCAATATACGGAAATAGCATGTGTGTGCGTTTGCGTAAGTGAAAGATGCTGGCGAAATTTCTCGTCAGTTCTATTTTCTATTGGTCGGCGCCTTTGATTGCGTTTATTTTGTTCTTTCATTCGCGAAATCTATCACTGGCACCGTTTATTTTGTCATGTCTCACAACTGAATGTCCAAGCTGACTTTGTTTTGGCTGTATATAGTTTTGTGGACAAGGGAGGTCATCTTGGTTGCCTAATTAACTAATTAAAATACCTGTCAGGCATCTCTACCTTAACGAGAAATCGAAATAAATATTTAGTTTATGTTAACGGTTAGTTTAAACTCAGACTAGTAATTACTAGTCTGAGGTTTAAATCAGCTTAACTTTTTTCCAGCCTACCCTGCTACAATATAATCGCTGGAGTTGCTTGTCCTTCCTACTATATTGTATATGGTTTAACTCCGGGGTTACGCCCAAACGCCACCTTCTTGACTGGAGATCTGTGTTAGAAAATAAACCTTTGTTGTTGCGGTGTACGCAAGAAGATGAACTACTTATGTTTTTAACATCACTTCACCTATTAACAATTCACCCCTAGACGTGATAATTTCACTTCAATAGTAAAAATCCGTTCTCAAAAATCCAAATAATCACAACTTCACCGAAATTCATTTTCTATTCTTACCCACAAGCCACACCCAGACCATTCATCAAAACGAGTGGTCTGGGGTATACCGTGAAACCAAATGAAAATTATTCTAAAATAACGTACTTATACCCAATTGATTCTGGAAAAAATTGACATTTGCAATAATAATCGACGAGCAGGTCCGGGCAGTAACGTTCGGTTGACGAAATAGACGATACAACAGTCGTGTTTCCGGTCGGAAATTAAGTGATATGTTATAAAATGTTATAAAAGCGAAATATTGGGCGAAATGAGTATTGATGACCCATTTATAGCTTTACATGCGTCACCAAATGGGGACATGGTTAGAGCATGGAGGTAGAAAAGAGACCTCCATGGTTAGAGTTGGTAGTACTACCATGGAAGGTACTAATCCATGGTAGAACCAGTACTAGTATACGCGGGGAGGGAGTACAGAGAGGGAACAGCCAGCATCCCTTTTACGGGAAAACGTGAAATCTCGACGGATTTGTTTCGTACTCACATGTAATACTAGTATTAGGTTTTGCGGGCTTCTGAGTTCAAAAATGATGACTAAATCAGCTAAAAAGCAAGCGTTTAGAAACATACCTATGCAGAAGTTGGTTTGCCAGTACTTAATCCATTTTTAACACCTAGGCTGCTCTATTGACATTGGTTGTTTATTTCATAGATTTGGCACTTGAGGTAGCTGATAAGCCGTGTCGAAAACGTGCACAAAACGACCATTCTGTGCACGTTTTCGACACGGATTAAAAACTAGTTGTAAGCACAAATTTTCATATGTTGTTTTTATCATTTGTCATTTGCATATTCATTGTTTTAGAGTTTGGGCAAGTTTTACGTGTATGTCCCTTCATGTTACATGAAAAACAAATCAGTTCGTCAGACGAAACGTAAATATTATATGTCTGACCTTGAAAAGTAATAGGTAATAAACCGTTAATATTGAGATCTTTTAAATAAACATAAACTTGGCGGCGAAAAGACTTTACGTGTTTTAGTGCTGGTCTTTTGCACCCGAGTGGGATCACTCGCACCGCGCTCATTACACGCCCGTATTTAGCTAATGCGTCTGTAATAGAATTGTCAGGTAAAAGAAGGGGAACGTTTGAAAGAACAATTTTTGTTGAGGGGCGGAGAAGAAGTTCAACAGAAACATGGAGGTCTCCAATGTCAAGGCCAGCGGCAGAAACCATGTCGACCCATGTAACCTTATTTAAAAACACAATAACTGACCGGTTCATTCGGGATGCTGCCACAATATTACTGGCCCCGACTAAATCCGCAACCGACTCCACATAAGTCTCTACTGGAATGCCTTCAATGTTTTCACATCGTACCGCATGGTTTCTAGTGAGGAGATTTGTTGGTGTTGACGGTGGCCTTGTGTGAGCGGCAGCCATCTTGGTTGCCGACCACCTTGCCAAGGCAAAGGCACAAACACTCCAAAAAACACAATAATAACAAAAACAACAACTATAAATTACTCACGTAAAAGATAGACACACTATATATACAACTGTGTAGAAACACGGGCGCACACCGAACGCAAATACGCAAAACAGGCAGAAAATCGGGGAGCGCTGACAAGCACCGCGTTCACCCGATTATATTATATTTGTTATTTATTATTATTTATGAAAATATATCACTTGTAGATTTACCAAATGCTGGTTGGCCGAATTGTAGTGTATCTGATGAACCATCCCCTGGCTATTTCCAGGAAGGAGATCAGATTGTTATTATATGTGGCGCCAGTGGAGGAAATCCACCTCCAGAATTGTACTGGCATGATGAAAATTTTGAGCTACTGGATAAAAATTGCACCTGGAATGAACAACAATCAGCTAATGAATTAACTATTTCTTCATGTACATGGGAACTGGAGTCTTCGGACAATGAACGTGTATACACGTGTACTGGTAAATCTGACGCATCTTCTCAGACGTATGACTGTGATACTGGGCAACTAGATGTTAAATGTATGTATAAAGTATGTTTTATAAATTATAACTTGTCAACTTTTTTTTATTCACTACAATCATCATTTGACAATTACCATTGTGTTCATACTACACTCATAGTAATGACACGATTGCACAACAACGACGAAATATGTATGATTTTATTTCATTTTATACATAGATGCCCCAGATAGTCCAATGTGTAATGAGGCAGCAGAGAACGACTTTTTCAAGGAAGGAAATGAAATTACTCTGATATGTGTATCATTAGATGGAAACCCACTTGCAACTCTGCAATGGGTTAATACATCTAGTGGTATAGTGATGACTAGGACTACACCGGAACCTGGTGACAGTGAGAGTATTGCTACTTATAGTTGGACTCTTAGCAGAACGGATAACACTGGTGTGTATGTATGTGGAGCAACCAATATTATACAGACAGTTCCCCTCACATGTAGCAGTGGACCACTAAATGTATCATGTAAGTATAACGTTCTTGAATATTTACAATGTCAAAGGGCACAATAAGACTTTCCAACGTTAGTCGTTGTCCTTTGTTTAAACATAAGTCAGGAAATTGGATTGAGGCGCTAACATTTTATCACTTACGATTCATGAGTGAAATGAAAACAGTTAAATATTGTACAAATTGTACTTAATAATGCATTTGATATTTTAATTATTGACAGTTGCCGCAATGGATATATTATTATCAGAACCAAACAATCCTTACAAACGTGGTGAATACATAACCTTGACGTGTAAATCCAGTAGTAGTAATCCACCGTCATCCATTGAATGGTATCAGAATAATACATTAGTTATGAACAGCGAATACGAAACTGTTGTTGGTACAGACTACATCGATGGTGATTACAATGGAACCATCACCCGGCAAGATTTGGAGATATATTTGACCGCTCAACACAATAGCGCTGTGTATCAATGCGCATCATTCCTCTTCGTCGACTACGAAACTATTCGTTCAGACTGCATAATATTGGATGTCTATTGTGAGTAGGCAATATTTATTCTATCTAGTTAGCTACGGTTTGATATAATTATGTGGGGACATGGGAACTATTATTATATAATAACATATTTTACTATTTACGGCAATGAGCATAATAGATAGAACCCCCATGATTGTATGCGTAGTATAAGCAGATAAATCAGCAAGGAAAAGGACACGAATGTAATGAATTGAATAAAAAAGTTGACAGCCAGTCCTGTTGGGTGGACCGGCATTCTTTTTTGCCAGACGGACGGACGAACGACGGTACTGAATTTTCGATTGCCGACCGACCGATAGCTAAATACAAATAGACTGTCAATTTTCATTTTCCACAAACTGTCCGAATAAATAAGACATTTATAGTAAATATCGTGACGTTATCCGCATCTTATGAGCTGTCATATCTGATACTAAACGTCAAAACTGGTGAATGATAACATGGTCATGTGATAAAGACATAGATTAGGCTGATATATTAAATTCATCATCGTGAAATATAAAATAAATATTACAACTGCTGATCTAATTATACAACGATTAAATATACCAATATATTGAAGCACAATCATGTTTAGTTCCCCCTACAGAACCATTTCCTTGTCAGACTAGACTTACTGGTTACAATGGTCATGTAATGGCTGGTGAAGAGTTAATATTGACATGTACGTCATGCAGTAGTAATCCACAAGCTGAGTTAATATGGTATGTAGATGATATGGAAGTACAGGATGGACTCAGTGTACCACGTTATACCCATGCAGAATATAATGGGAAGCAAACATCACAGAATCTAACAAAGTCAATGACATATTTGGACCATGGAGCAGTGATTTATTGTGCGGCGTATAATCCTGAATTCAATAAAGAAATGTATTATTCCAATAAAACCGTACTGAATGTGCACTGTGAGTGAGAATGTCACTGTGGTATTAGTGCAATATGTTTTATTAGTGTTCCATCTTTTATACTATTTTATAAGTCCCCGTTCGAAGGAAGTCCATTCGTCCCTTCGTCCTTCCATCTATCGTCCATCCAGAGTCGCATTTCAGAACATGCAGTGGTTTACTGATTCAATCAAAGATGGCTGACTGGCAGCCATTTTTTTGAAAATGTTTCACATTGCTTTACATTGTTTTACATTGTACATTATAGATTACATGTTCACTACAATTAGTGACAGCCATCTCGCTTTTTGATCCATGGCCGAGGGATCATATTCATTCATATATGACAAATAGTTTATAAATCTTGGAGAACATGCTCTTGTCAGTGTTTTTCATAAACAGATCAAAGATGGCCGACGGTCAGCAATATTCCTTTTTAACCATACTTCTGCATCTCCAAGGCTTAGGAACCTTTTTATTATTATCTAACACAAGCATCATAAATATGGGAATACATATCCATATCCGTTTGTTTTATAATATTCTTTATGGACTGGTTACGGCTTTTGCGTCCTTAGGTCGTGCGGCGGAAGCGCGCGAGCTCACGAGGGCCCGTAAGCCGTACGACGGAGAGCAGCAAAACGCGTATCCAGTCCATAAAGGTTTTATCATATACCTTATATAAAAGAAATGTATTTAGTTATGTTATTTTCGCTTGACTGGCCCCAAAAGAAAACCTATTCGATTTAATCCGGGTTTCGATAGGGCTTTTTTCCTGATTTATACGGGGAATTCTAAACGACACAAACGCGTCAACAACTCTCACACAATACACAAACAAATGTCGCCAAATATATCCACAAATTACGTTTTAATGAAACAGCAAATAAACGTAAATTTATAACAATACCTTAACGGTAATAAATACGAACCCATAATAAATTTTCTTTCCTAAGAATGTGCACTACAGTCCAGCTAAGTTGGTAGTTTACTGACTGTCAGAATAATCCATAACAAACGAACGTTTCCTTGGAGATAATGTTGTAACCGCAGGTAGAAACACGTTGATTTCACAGTTAATAAAAACTGTAGTCGGTGAACGAGAAACAATTGCTTGACGAGAAACAGTTTGGTTTTCATTTCAAGATTCGGGCGTAGCACGACTAAGAATATGTGAAATGCGCCGATGATCTTCCATAGAGACAGTATCATAGTGCTGTAAACTTGACACGTTTTTGTGACCAATAATGTTTGTGATTTGTTGTGGTTCCGGCTTTCGTCAGGGTAATAATGAGTCCAACTGGTCTTTTGGTATATATCCCATCCACTGAACAATATCGTCAGCTATAAACAAAGCGCTGACGATAATCTCAAATTACGCGCGTTGTTTGTAAACGGAAAGTAGTTCCAGGAAATAGACGCGTTTAACAAATATGGCAAACGGGGCTCGTGATATGGACAATTATTGCACGGCTCGCGCATATGATAATCAGATAAAAGATGCCGACTTGTGGCCATCTTGCTTTTTGATTATACTACTATATCTCCAAGGTGTTAGTCCATGTTTATTCATTGTTGACACACACATCATCAATATAGAAATACATGTTCATGTCAATTTGTTCTATAATCAGTTCAAAGATGGTCGACTGGCATACATCTAGTTTGTTTTATTAGAAAAAAAATGGCTCCATGAACAGGATTGTCAATTTTCGTTCAAAATGATACAAGCATTATTTATGTTGAGAGATATGTACATGATGATTTGTTGAGTTCACATAAATCCAAAAATGACAAACTAGCAGCCATCTTTTTTTTGGCAAAATGTATGTTTGATATTTTTTTTTCAAATTATACGCGTTCGGATACACGTCCATGACAATTAGTTTCACAATCGGGTTAAAGATGGACTTCCGGCAATCTTGCTTCTTGGCCATAGAAGTATATCTCTCTACATGAGCTCGGACAAAGA